AATGGCAGAATTGAGGGCGTTGGGGGGGGGGGGGGGGGGGGGGGGGGGGGCGTCCGCATTCATTGTCATTAATGCCTTTCGGAGATGACCTCATTTCAGACTAACTCTCCGCCCCCCCTCAGCAAAGTCTTACCCGACGACGGGAAATAGGGCTTCTCTCCACCGAATGCTGCTCAGAAGTTTATCTAAAAGCAGAACGCAGACGGGAAGCCTGCTCGAGGCCTCACAGAGGAATTCTGGGAAGGGTTTCAAAGCGTGGAAACGTTGGAAGGTAGCACCATCACGCCACTCGGCCGGCGTCGCCATGAAGGCAAAACGGCCGCTCGGTCGGGGATTCTCAGTCGCACCCTTCAGCGGAGTCGGAACGCGTGCCTCGCAAGGCGTTCTTCATTGTCCTGCGTCACCTGACTGTTTTGTCCCCCTGCTCAGAGAACTTCAGTCTCTAGTCCAGTGACTGTATCTGTAGCATGAAGGCTCTGAGCTTGCAAGCGGCCGCCTTTCAAAGACGCTTCATTTTTTTCCAGGGAAACAGACAACTAAGGTTTGGAACTGCCCACTCATATAGACCTCAACCTCATCGCTAGGAGGACAGGGGGAGTTTGTGCCTGGGAGGATTGAATATTTATTCATTACCTTCTTGGGCCTGGGATATATTTGGGTCCAGTTAATTGCCTAAAAAGATTCGATTCATCAACCTGTTTGCAAGCATCTGAAACACTTAACTGTAGCTTAGAAACCTCAGGGGCAGGAATAATCAGCTCAAACAGGACTATGGTCAGATGTTCTAGAATGTAAAGGGAGACCAGATTTTCAGGCAGTTAATACTGTAATGTAAGTACCTTCTGACTGGGGAGGAGTGTGTGCGCGCGCACACACACACACACACACACACACGTAGGGTATACATATCCTTATGGGAACCGCTCATTCATTTCAATGAAAAAAATGCTAACGCTAACTATGACAACCTTAACCCCTACCCTGCCCTAACCATAACCATAACTAACCTAACAAAATACAACAGTTTTTACATTTTTAGTTTTTTCATAGCAGTCACCGATTTTTTATAAAATAGAGTTTTCCCTTATGGGGACCAGGAAATCGGTCCCCATAAGGGAAAAAAAACGGATATTTATCACGTTATGGGGACATTATGTCCCCATAAGGATAGGTAAACCCGCTCACACACACACACACACACACACAAGTTGGTCTTCCTATCTAAATGGGGACTGTCCATTAATTTCTATGGGAAAAACCCTAATCCCAATCACAACACATTTAACCTCTACCCATCCCTAACCTTAACCATGAGTAACCAACCCAAATACAAGACTTTTGGCATTTTTACGTTTTTGATTGCATTCACAGATTTTTATAAAACTGAGGTTATCCAAATGGGGACCTCAAAAGATGTCCCCAAAAGTAGGGAAATTTCAGGTTTTACTACACTTTGGGGACAATTTGGTCTTCAAATGTGATCTATGCAAAACCACACACACACACACACACACACACACATGACCAACACTAGTCAAAACACAGAAATGAGACCCAAAGTGTCATTCTTAACTGTACATCTTTATTTAACCCAAATTTGACCGTGACACATGGATGATCAGAACATTTCATACAACCATTATCCCCCCCCCCCAAAGACAACGGCTCACGACACAAGTTACTCCATATCTGACATAGTAGCCTGGTAACATCACACTTTTACGCACCAGTACAGCGGTTCATTTTCTTTAAAAATAATCACCAAATGATTTTTTTAAAAAATGCTGGCGATAAATCATTTATTGTGTGTCACATTTTATTTTTGACAGTACAACGCAGTTCACAGTATGGTGAAAGTGAAGCTTCCGGAATGATCCGCAGGTACGCGAGCATGCTGCTTGCCTCCGGTGACGGAGGCTGTCTAATGTGGATATTAGAGTACTATTAAAAACAAGAGCCACAGTGTCAGGAACAGCAAAATAAAAAGCACAGTCAGCCAAACTTCTTAATGAGGGCAGCAGACACAACCAGCTATATGCTGAACATAAATAAATCTTTCATTGTTTATATCTGCAATCCCTTGTGCGGGGAGATAAAAAGCAAGTGTGGTAGGAACAGGCAGGAATAAAAGAGTGACCTTCATTTCATGCCATATTGTATTTTGTGTTTATGGTCATAGGCCCTGGTGACCTTTGACCCCACATTATGTGAAGGTCAAAGGGCAGGGGGGTCAAAGCAGTGGTTTCAGCATTGGGTTGTAGGCAGTGCTGCTGTGTTCCCTACATAACGTTTAGCATTTGTTACGTATACTAGCCCTATACATTGTGATAACTAGTATCAACCTTGACAAACGGGTCAAGAATCTGGATGAAGATCATCGGGGATTGCCAACTGCTTCCTATCTAAATGGACATTAACTGGTGGCACTTAGACAAGGCCAGTCCTGATAAGGACGCAAAAGGGAAGGTGTGAGCGGCCCAAACTGACTTGAGCACAAATGGACTTGTGGAACTCAGCTTAGCGTCTGGGTTGGACGTCATGTCATGTTATTCCACACTAAGATGCAGCAGTTCACTGGGAAAGATTTAACAAAAATAAAGTACTGCGTGGCGATCTTCCATGTGTTGGGTAATCAGGATGATTGGTTAACTGCTCACATTGCAGTCAAGTCCTGTTTGGTTTCTGACTACATGCCCTGAACATGCCAAATCCCAGTGAGATTCCTTCATGGCCATCAAGATCAGTGCTCATCTCCATTCAGATAACAGAAATGCACGGGCAAAGACAAAATGGGGGGGGGGGGGGTCTATCAACAACCAAGCCTTAGATGGCCCAATGGCTGCAAGACAAGGTGCTTTTCTCATAAACTTGACAGCTCTTCCACGGCGCTCTGTGCGACTGCTGGGGGTCATGGGGGTCAGCAGAGAGGTTCGGGTTCGAGAGTGAGCCCAACCCTTCCCCCGCACATGCATGGAATCACAGTGTAAAAACACAGAAACAGCTTGGGCATGCTCCACAGAACGGCTCACGCGACGCGTCACGACACGACTGACGTCTTCATGAACCCGGCGCCGAGACGCCAGATGGGTTCGGGAGATTTTACAATTGGATCATTTCCTTTTTTTTTTTTTTTTTTTTTATAACATTACGTTACTACAAGAATCCACATAAAACCTGTCACAAGCATTTCTTTATCCCAACAATCGTGATTATTTTTAAGAACTCAGTCACAAAACGACAAAGCAAACGGTCCGGAATAAAAAACGTGAGATGCTCAAAAGAATGAACAACACAATACATCACTGTTAAACAACCCTTCACATTTAAAACATGACCGTGGTCGTCTCTTCTCTTTTTCCGTCTGGCATAAAGGAAAGCCACACAGTTTTCAGGTACTGAGACAAGCTGTACTTTTTATTATGATTTTAAAAGGAAAGGTCAGGCGAGATTGCCACGTAAGCTGCATACTCGTGTGGGAGGCTGGGCGGAACTCCTAGAATGTTCTGGAAGTTTATGCAGACGCAGGTGGGCTTGCTGTCTTGGCTGATTTAGAAGCAGAAAGCACACGTTCAGCATATAACGACTACTGTAGCCCTATCTGAACTACCCCTTCGTTGGTAGCTCTATTGATTAGCAGGCTTTGTCGCCTGTCAGCCGCACACCTTTCGGTTTAGAAAAAAATACCTTTTAACGTACAAAACAATGTACAAAATGAGCACAATTTGCAACAAATGTTAACCAGATTTACTAGCAACGGAATACTACCTCTGGCATCAAAGGCGAGAGTTTGATGAGACCCTCATGTGAAGCAGCTTGCGAACCGCAGCACTTAGCGCAAATCTCACTCCTTTTGGTACAAAATACAGAAATCGCCGGCAGTGTTCAGGCCTGGCATAGGCGGCTCACCGAATGCACAGAAGACGGCCTTTACGGACGGCCTGTGCCGCTGGGTATTCTTCACGCAATACAAATTCAAACACAGGTCGCCTTGGCGAAAGCAGGACGCGGGCCTAGCAAAGTACGATTTAGACACCGGGCGAAAAGATAAACAAAAAAAAAACACTCGATACATGCATGCTGTGGTATAGCCTGTCCTGGTTTCACTCTCTAATGTTACACTCAACAAAACAAGATCCTTTGTTATTTAATCTACCCCGAATGTAAGCCCAACTAGCTACACATACTTTTAGATATGCACTATACTTTTAGATATGCACAAAGGTGAGCCGTTCATTAAAGTGTAGCTACAGTGTTCTGTGGTGCATGGTGTGGCTAAAGAAAGCTTCGGTCAATGCCTAGGTTTGGCTGCATATACATGTAGCGTGCCCGAAAAAAAGGAATATCGCTAACTAACGGGTTTAAGTTGCCTAAACGAAAATGGAGAACGAAAAACAAAAGAAAGCACAGAGAAAACTCATGCCACACAAAGACTGGCTTTCGCGTGCTGTAATTAACTATAAAGCACAGCATCATGCAAAAGCTAATAAACTGCTGATGAATATGCCAAAACATAGGACGTGCATAAAGAATACTGCAAACCAAACAATTTCATAAATAATCATTGTAAATACCACCTAGCGCTAGATCAACCCAATCATTTGGTCATATTCTGCAAAGATTTATATATAAAGGTCTAATGTTGATGTTGAATGCCATTCATTGTGTATAGGGCACTAATCCAAAATATACAAGATGCATTATTTTGCTTGCTTGGGTCAAAGGGCTGTTCCTTAGTGAGCAATTTCAATGAAGGTCACCTCACATGTGTGCCACGTCCTGTGGGGACCAGCGGGAGGAACATATTACTCTAACCTTAGAGACATCAACACACGCCTAAGATTGATCTAGATGTGGTATTCAGAAAGGCACTCTCTTTTTCTTTCTGTCTTTCTTTCTTTTTTCTTTCTCTTTCTTTTTCTCTCTCTCCCTCCCTCTCTCTCCCTCCCTCTCACTCTCTCTTTCTCCCTCTCTTTCCCTCTCTCTCCTTCCGTCTCTCCCTCTCTCTCCCTCCCTCTCTCTCTCCTTCCCTCTCTCTCTCTCTCTCTCTCTTCTTTGCACCGAGCACACTGAAGAGTTTCAACACAATGAGAACCACTGGGCCGGAAAACACACAGACGGGTCCACGGGAGACGAAAGTAATTCCAGGCGTCACGACAGCACCGGGCCGGACCCGGCCAGACGGTGATGGCTACTGAGGATGCTCCTACAGCTTCTCTACAGGCAGCCTGACTGCTATAAGTGCTGGCTACAGAGGAGGGCGCCCAGGGACCATGCGGGCCTCATGAGGCGCCCCCTGTTGGCAGAGTAACATTGTGGCACTTGAACGTCTCTTCAAATGATTAAAAAAAAAGCTTTGTGTATAGAATAGAAGTACAGTGTTCCCCTTCATGTTTTGCAGCTGCTAGCTAGGTCAGAGGAAGCTAGGACAGAAACGAAACACCCGATGAAGGTTTCTCGTACGACAAATAAACGAAACGACAAATAAACGTCCAGATATATTTATGTGACTCTACATCGTTTATGCCTAAACCTATGTAATCTTGCAAATATCAAAATGAAGTCAAATTCATATACGTTAGGAAGTAGCTGGCGACACTTGGCCGCTCGCAATCTGCTTCATGGGGTTCTCCTGTCGTGGATTTACTTCTGCGGGTTCGACCTCATGATGATTGGCTTCCTGTTGACGTACGTCGCCCAGTAAGCCAAGTTGAAGATGAAGAACAGGACGGGGAAGATGATGCGTGATATCTTATCCACTCTGCTGACGCGGTTGTAGGATTTCTTGGCCTCGACCATGTGCTCCTCCACCTTGGGCATCTTCACGGGCACCGCGGTGGCGCTCTTGGCGATGGTGGTCAAGCCCGGGTCCTTTGCCACGTTGATGGCGTAGGTCGTCCCCACTATGTTGAACGTGTTGTTGGCTTTCTTGGAGAGGGAGGCGGACTCCCTTCTCTGAATGATAAAGGAGACACTCATTACAGCAGCTCGAAAAGACAAACGCCACTAATTAATTTCCGTCTAATTAGTATCAAGGGGTAGCAGGACGGTAGAGAGGAGTTTCCTGATTGAATTAAACGGCAGACATCTTTTATGTTTAAGTAGTACGGTAAATCAGCCCAGAGAGATACGGTGCACTCTTCGTATAACTTCTACAAGTTCTATAAGTCTATATGTTAATGTGCATTAAGAGGATGATGCTGTTTGAGTTCTTACGTATCCATGGAAACCTGCATCCTCCATTCCCCAGCCTTAACCAGTTCTTATCTCAAATCTTCCATTATTCAAACTTCATAATATACTGGGATACTAATAATATGATTTGTGAGGGTAATTTAGATGCACTATTTGTAAATGCATGAACTGAGATGTATTATTTGGTAGTCTACAAAACTATGAAGAGCCGCATTAAACATACAACACTAATTTTGTCATATAAATATTAGATATAGCAATAATTATCATTGCAGTTATATTTCTCAAGGTGAATATTTTAAGCAAAACAATATAGAGCGTATAGGCATGATTTGTTAAACATAATTTTGAAAGGTACAACAGGAGATCCTCTCTAGAAATTGGAAACCACAGATCCTGGTCAGAAATCTTCATTCTTCTGAGTAATCTCACCCAAAAAGGTTTCACCATCAATACCCTAAAGGCTTGTGTCAATACAAGCATCACACTTAAGCATCACACTGCCTGCCCCATCATCTGACGATATTTTCTGAAAAAAGACCCTCTCAACAACTTCTATTCTACGGGGCGTCCACTGCGGCGTTCTGGGTAATTTAGCAGTGAACGTGTCGGCATGGGACGAGTGCAATGAATGATATACGCCAGAAGGCTTTCAGCACACGCGTCTGAACGTCATCCGCTACACTGTAACTGCTTCAATCCGACAGAAAAGCGGGAGAGAAAAGTTAATAGCAGCACCCGCAGGTTAGCGAGAGGCCGTTTGGGGATTAAGTGAAGGAAAAAAATTTTTAAAAACAAACCTCACAGACTCACAGCTCACGCTGAGGGACAGTGTTAGCTGGTACAATCGCCCTTGTGAGCTGGAAGGGACTCCCCAGCACGTCCGCCCTAAACGCAGACGCCTCTTAAGCGATTTAATTCTTCCCCTCCGACCCATGATTCAACGGAAAACTCAGCCGACGCACGCCGGGGTGATTAGGTAACGGATTTGCAGGAAGGATCGCGACTGGCTTTCACGATAAAACTCGCTTACGAAAACTTGCATCATTTATGTTTGGTCTTTAAGCGGCGTTTAGGTCTGTAAGGTTGGCCGTATTTCCTTCCCGGAGACTTTTATAGGTATGAAAGTCGTTCTCAGGATTTCTCTGTTTGCCGTTTTACGGCATCTGTCAAATTCCTCCATGGGCGAGAATAAAGTTCCTGATAAAACTAACAACAGCATTAATTGTTAAGCGGCACATATGGTGAGACGCGTCATTGTAATTACTGTGATATTCAGCGTCTGCGGGATACAGATTGAATTTTTACTTAAGGACGTGTCAGTGAGGCTACGAGGAGAGTTCTGAGGATGACCTCATGGAACCTGGGCTCGTCTGACCCGTGGTTCTGCCAACACGTAGTCCTGCATGATACCATACAGTCCACACGCATTGGATGGAAGAATCCAGAAATGATGAGACAAGGGAAACATCCACCCCCACCACGGATTATTATTGTGCACTGCCCCCCCACACGCACAATTTCATATCATCCATCCACCTGTCTGTCCGTCCGTCCATCCATCCATCCATCCATCCATCCATCCATCCATCCATCCATCATCTAACTGCTTATCCTAGTCAATGATCCTGTCATTAACAGTCTTGTTCTTCCCACTGGGATGGAGAGGGGGGTGTCACTGTTAAAATGCATTGACCCCTGTGGGGGGGGGGGCACCACAGGGAGCCATTGCTTGTTTATAGTGGTAATAATGGTGGTGTTGGTGGGGAGGGGGGCTAAGTCTCTCTCCCCCACTTGCCTGTGACTTAATCCCCGAAGACGTGGGAGACCCCACTGCACAGCTTCCAGTTTCCAGCTCCCAGTTTCTCTGGTTCCCCAAGTCGCTCTGTCCCGCCCATCCAAAGAACGGCGAATCAAGACGGACCTCATTTCATATTCATAATGTGTGGGTCACATGAATGTCTTTTTAGCCATTTATCAGAAAGCAACCCCCCCCCCCCCATTCCAAACCGCTGACGATTTTGCCCTTTCCTTTCCTCCGGGACTCCTGATTACTTAGACAAACCTGTCACCCTGTCAGGCTGGAAGCGGGAAGCCTGTCGGTTACCGTTTCGCTCTCCCGCTAGGGCCAGCCCTAATCACGCCCCTGAGCGATGGAATCAAAGCGTTGCTGCAGACGACAGAGATCCCCGGGAGGACGCCCCGGCTCCTCTGCAGCTCCGACGGGCCCGTTAGCTTTGAAGGGATCTGTCTCCGCCAGAATCATCCTCAGGAAATCCACAGCATCAGCTGGACGGGAGCTGCAACGTAGCGCGACGTCACCCACCCTCATTTCCTGAGCCTCCTTCTTGCCATCCCAGGCCCAGCTTCTCTTGGTGAAGTAGTTGACGGTGGCGAACTCAATGAGCGCCGAGAAGACAAAGGCGTAGCAGACGGCCATGAACCAATCCATGGCCGTGGCGTAGGCTACTTTGGGCAGCGAGTTCCTAGCGCTGATGCTGAGGGTTGTCATGGTGAGCACAGTGGTGACACCTGAGGGGAGGCACACAACCGATTATAAGCCTTACGCCATTATCACTGTGTTTAAAACATCATATAACGATATAATAATTACATTCCTGGAGGTACAGCGACTTCTACTGGTTGACGCCGTAAAGGTCAAGCTACTTCAAAATTTCACTGAATAGTTTGACTGTACAGTCCAGGACCAACAAATTAAATTCTGAAGGAGTGCACAGTATGCAGAGGATAGACAAAAAAAGGCACGGATCTTATGGAATCAACGTTTTTCAGGGATTTCCTGTGTGCTGTCATTTCAGTCACAGTTTCAGCTGGAGGTAGCATTCAGGATACAGGGCTGTTTCCAATATCACTGCACGACTTCCTGCAAATGACATCATGTGACATGTTGGGGGGGTAAGGAGGGCTTCATCTGGGCATGGGAGTGGAGACGGGTTCAAGAAAAGGGTAGAGATGAGGAATCATAAAAGTGATAGAGAAATAAAATGAGCCTCAGGCTGCAGAACGGACGGCAGTTTGGTCAGGTGGTAGGCGTCACCTGACCTCGCCCCGCCCTGGGATGTTCTCATGCCTCTCCCTGTCATACAGCTCCCTCAAACCTCCATAATAAGCAGACAGGGGAGAAAAAAACAAGAACAATTATGAACAGCTAGAGTACGAAGCACAGAATATTCCGGAAGGTCCTCATTAAACTTTGTAAAAGTTTGGGGCGAGACACAGAACCCCAGTGCGCTGAATCCGCTCGTCTCCCATGATCCTTCTGGCGCTGGACGTCCATTCTTTTGCTGAGCAACGCTGGCGCTCGAGCAATAAATCATGGAATCGCACGTGGGCGTGTAAAAAAAGCCACAAACAGGATTATCCACGGGAAATATCAGGTCACGTCAGGCGGAGGAATCCCGGCGCTGGCTCACGCTCGCCGGCCCGCTCGTTAATTAAATATAAACTTCTCAGCTGACATTTCTGAGGCGACGCTGGCGTCCGTGTCTCTGTACCCCGGTGGGCTTTCAGAGGTCCTGCTATTTAAAGGGACGGCGGTCGCCATGTTTCTTTAAGCGCCATGACGGTCTCTGACGAAAAGGTTAATGGGAAAGTAAACGGAATCTCCCGAACTGCCGGCACTGTGGGAGGAAACTCTACCCCAGAGAGCGGCGGGTGCGGCAGGGGACTTAAACGTATCTCAGATTCCCTGTCGCAGTCCTGCACCGGCGTGTCAGTGGGACTGGGCCACTCACAGATATCCGCTCCCCTCCCCCTCGGCTGAAATGCCCCTTGTGGAATTTTTACATTACCTCTGAGACAGAGAGCTCCTGTTGGCCAAACCCTTTCTGGGGGCCCTAAGCAAAATCTGATTAATCTAGTTGTCATTTGTCATTTTCCTTCCCGTTCTGATAGGCTGGTCGGTGGGGGCGCCCCCTGGTGGTCGCTGAGCCCTAAGCAGCCTCTTAATTTGCCCTGGGGACGCCGACTGAGTAGCTTGATGAGTCTGCTGCTCTAGCTTGGGGCACGATGGAAATTCTGGGAGATGGGATATGAGAATGGGGAGGGAAGCAGCTCCGTCCTCCTGCTTGACTGTAAACTTGCTGGGCTGTTAGGCTGAAATCTGATCATGTGACCCTGATGTTATTCTAATGATCTATTGACCTTTATGGCCTGTATGTGTGTGGGAGTCCTGGCTTCCAGCCCTGGAAATGTCCGCGGCGGTACAGGAAAGGGGCCAGATGAGAGAGGCCCGATGGTCGATCGCCCTCAGGCACGGCTATGTTCTCACTCCCGATGTTCCCCATTCCGTAGCCCGGCCGGCTGATGCAAGGAGAGCAGATCGCGGTGTCACCATCCCCTAGGGCAGCCTGCCACACCGCTCCATCCCAAGCCCGTTCTAAACGAGCCTCCGCTAATCAGTAATTAATTAAGTGGTTTTCTACAGCCTCGCTAATTACAGGTCAATCTGATTGAGTCTGAATTCCCGGGAGCTCCGAAACGCCCAGAGAGCACCATGGCAAGATTCACCCCCCGCCCACCTTAACTCTACCCAAACTCAACTTTCCAAGTAGGAGAACCACTGTTGTGAGAGAGACCAGCTGATGTCGAGGTCCTCAAAAAGGTCAACGCGTAAGTCTGACCTCTAGCGGATTATAAAGCACGTACTGCCGACATCCCGAACCAGACGTACTGTACATAGACCCTGGGACCAGACATACAGACATCTGTTGATCCCGGCACCGGGGGACTCACCGAAGACGGTGCGTGCTGGGACGGACTCCCGGTTCAGCCAGAAGGAAACCTGGGACAGGATGACGGTCATGATGCAGGGGAGGTAGGTCTGTATGACAAAGTAGCCGATCTTCCTTTTCAGATGGAAATAGGCTGTCATCACTATGTACTCTCCTGGAAGGGGAGAAGAGGAGAGAAAAGGGGGAGGAGCTAATCAGTCAAACAGGTTGGGGTTGATCCATATCCAACCAAGGTTGAACCCCCACCTTGTGCCCTGTGTCACTGGGAAAGACTTCAGTTCCCCCAGAAGAGATGGATGGATGGATGGGTGGATGGAGGAATGGACGGAGAGACAGATAGAAAGAAAGACAGATAGAGTTTAGTCTAGACACTAGCATACACACAACCGAAGTCAGATGATCTCACTCGGCGGTGATCTCTGAGCGTAACAGTGTGAGTTTACAGATGCAGCCCCCCCCCCCCCCTCGCCCGCCTGTGTGACGATCAGAGCCTCATCTGTGATTCTGCGCCGGTTTTTTGAGGTGAGCGCGTTCACGGGCCGAGCTGCTTCCTCAGCGCTTTGCGCCCGCGAGACGGGGCGGCCTGAAGGGGAATGTCATCCGAAGATGACTGCTGATATTTAAAAAACGGGGAAGCGCTCGTCCTCAAAAAGAAAAAAGAAAAAAAATCTGCTGAGCCGCGACTCTCTGTGCCGCCGGCGGCTCCGAGGAGGACAAAAGTGACGGGATCGTCGGGCAGAGGAGCGTTTTGTCTGGGAGGGAGGCGACGGCAATTAAAGGGGGTGCGGGCGGCGGCTCTGGGGGCATTAATCAGCTTTGGCCCCTGCTGTCACATGCGGCAGGACATGAAGGACAGAAGAGGGACAGGATGTCTCCCCGTGGGCTAGCGTGCCAGGACAGCACTAATAATAATAATAGCAATAGCAATAGCAATAGTAAGAATCACAGTCGTATTAACAATGATAAAAGCAGTACTGAGGTACCTGGGATAGGCTACAGGCCGCCCTGCAAGCAGGATAAATGACTGGAAAATTAATGGATAGATTAATAATAATAATGAAACAAATGAGAAATATTAAGAATAAGAAAGAAGTAGAATAACCCCATGCAACCCATAGTTGGAAAATGGATGGATGGATGCCCAGTTCTACTAGGGAAAAGAGTCACCCCCCCCCCCCCCAATCTCTGACAGCAGAGGGCTCCAGACCTCATGATTAAAATGTGAAATTGGTAACGACTCCACCCTCTCTGTCTGCTGATGAATGCAGAAATAAAATAAAACAAGTGCTTTGTACGCCTGCGGAGTGCCACCGCTGCCGTGACGTTTGGGGACGTGCGGGGTCACCTGTGCTGGAGCTGATGGTCTCCTTGCCGATGACGTGGCCCAGCAGGTCGTACTGATTGAGCCGCGAGCCGTCCTCTGCCACAGCGACGGAGCGCTCATCCCCTTTGGTCCAGATGTAAACTACTTCATTGTTGGTATAGGCATCTGGGGCGGGGGGGGGGGGGGGGTGATTATGGGTACGTGAGGTCCGTGACACTCCAGGATGATTCCTGGGCAAACGCCTCGACCGGTAACATGCGAGGGAAATGAAGTGCGTCTACTGGAAACAGCAGCGGATGTTTTCGAAAGGAAGGAGACACGGGATGGGAACAATCGTACTGGGTGAGACAGGCTCAGCATTACTCATTAAAGCAATTTTAATGGCTGGAATGCAGCATTACCCACTTTCTCTGTTAAAAAGCTCCAGGCGAAATATTCACGGCTTGATCCGAGTTGCAGCTTCATCTATAACTGACCAAAACGGGCAGCGATGTGACCTTTCAAACACCAAGTGAATATTCCTCTTTCTATATCCCCAGGTATTTACCGGGCAGTTCATTAAAACCCGGTCTGGTTACAGAGTGGCATTGCTCATGTGCTGTCGGCTTCTCTACGGAATGACTGCTCCCGGGTTTTGGGCCGCGCGCCTTTCCGGCAGTGGAGAGCAGCTGCAGGCCGGGACGGCGGGTTCACGCCGGACAGCTGGCGGTACGAACCGCGGCGGCAAAATTGGATTCTGGGTCTTTATTATAGCGGTATGTGTCTTTGTTATAGAGGTCTTTTGTTGATGCATGAGTTTTCCTCAGGAATATGGCAGACCGAGGTACGTACACACACACACACACACACACGCACACACACTGGTTTACAATTATATCTGGGGACTCTCCATTCATTTCTTAACCCCTAGCCAGCCCTAAGCTTAACCATAAGTACCCAAACAAAATAAGAGACTTGTCGTATTTTTAGTTTTTTTTACTGTAGTCACAGATCTTTGTGGGGACCTGAAAAATGGTCCCCACAATGTCAAGAAAACGGACATTTATTTTATTACATTGTGGGGAACATTTGGTCCAAACAATGTAATATAGACATAATTCACACACACACACACACACACACACACACACACACACACACACACACACACACACTCAAGTTTATCTTCCTATCTAAATGGAGACCATTCATTCATTTCTATGGGAAAAACCCTAATCCCAATCACGACACCCTTAACCTCTACCCATCCCTAACCATAACCATAAGTAACCAACCCAAATACAAGACTTTTGCCATTTTTACTTTTTTGATTGCATTCACAGATTTTTACAAAACTGAGGTTATCCAAATGAGGACCTCAAAAGATGTCCCCAAAAGTAGGGAAATGTCAGGTTTTATAACACTTCGGGGACAATTTGGTCCTCAAAAGTGATCTATGCAAACCCACACAGTTTTCTACACACCAACACACACACAGATACAGTACACACATGCGCACATGCAAATGCATAATCCATATGCTCAAACATACTAAACAGTCCTTAAATTACTATATATTAGCAGTATAGCAGTATAGTAAGGACATTTGACATCAGTCTTGTTTTTTAAGCATTTGTATGATTTTTAATTTTTGAGTAGGTAAACGTTAAACGCCATTTCACCGTTAATACAGTGAAAACCTGACAGGCCCCCCACACTGATCAGTCTGCTAAAAACTGGAACAAAGGCATCCATAAAATCTTTTCAGAGAAACAAAGCTCAGGGATCAGGCCCGGGACTGGCTGCCCAGAACCGACAGTAGCTAACAAAGGGGTTTAATTACGAGCCCAACCCCACATACGGGCCTCATAAAGAGCTGATTACTCACCGGTGCGGCAAAGGGCCCCCATTCTTATAAATACACGTCTGATGAAGGTGATGCTCACCGTTCAAAGTGCCATAATTGCACGGGTGAAAACTGGCGCACGCAGGAAAAAGGCATGCTGGGAATTCCGGAACAAGGCCGGCTGTCTTGAGTCAACCTGTCCCAATATATCTGTTTAATCCAGATATCTAATGCCTGTATTGTTACTTTCTTTTCCAAAGAGGCTTTGAAGCCATATTTGCTGATATCCTCTGGGAAATTTCATAAAGACTTTAATCGATTCATGTGTCGTTACGCTGGGCCACCTGAACTAAAATTCAATTACTGGCAAGGAAATGTGCATTTGGAATTTTGAACACTGAACACAGAGTCTGACTTGTGATAGTGACGTTGAAAACAAATCGCTACACTAATTCGGCATTAATTTTGCCGCTATGGTCACTTTGTGGGTCTTGCCTACTGTATATTACAAACGGAGGAGATACTTGAGGAACAGAACATTTGGGCTTACAGCTTCCAAACTTGAGCGGGCAGGCATGGGCGTCCATGGGGAAGTCCTCCAGGTGCATGGGACACTCGGCGTGGATGGTCAACCTGGCGGAGACAGGACAGGGCACTGACATGAGATGACAGTGGATCCTTTAGACAGGACAGGGCACTGACATGAGATGACAGTGGATCCTTTAGACAGGAGCCCCATACTTACAGTTCCTGTCCCTTTGGAGAGCTGTTTTTTGTTTTTTGGAATAATTCAGGTCAGATATGTCCTTCAAAGGTACAACAGCTTAACTACACTTCAACGGATACCTTAAGGCCACAGTTCTGTGTCCTTAATTCCGTTGTAGTTGATTTCCTGCAATCCCCAACTCCGATATCAGCACATTTTTTTGCATCCCTCCCTAACCCACCCAAATGCAGTGTTTCCCCCCAGCCAATGGAGGCGCTGTTGTACACAGAGATTACTCTGGAGTGTCAGAACGGCGGGTGGGGGGAGTGGGGGTGGGGCGGGGATGGTGGGCATGCTTGGCTGCCGCAGCTGTGTTGACTGCAACTCGTCAGTTTCACGGTCAGTGAGTCTCGCTCTTCCTGTCACCCGCCAGATCGGACAGACGCTCCCGCATTGCAACAGATTTCTATAAAAAAAAAAAACAATCTCCGTCTTTACCAGTTCATCTGACTGATTCATTACTGACCCACCCGAGCGTGTGATCCCGCTGTCCGGATTATCTCTGTGGGTCAGACCTGGAGCCCCTGGTGACAGTCTCCGAGTACGTCCTCCATCTCCGCTCGCGTGCTGTGACACTCATCTCCCTCACCATCATCCCGTATCATTGCCTTCTCTTGGGCTGTAGCTGATGACCAGTAAGTATTACGGTTGACCGTACGGCAAAATGTTAGGAGGAAGAGAATCAGCCAGTGATGTGGCCGTTTCCTTGGGCCGATTGGCTCTGCCCCCTGCCCTCAACCCTCTCCGACGTCAGGCTGAAGCACTTAATGAGGCAAAGTACTTTGTGTTTTCAGCCAGTCGCATGACACGATATTTACAATGTCCTTGGCTTCACGAACGAACTGCTCTGGGGAGAAAGAGGAGAGCTCCACAGCCGACGTTAATTAACAGCACTCTGTGGGCTCCTCATGGGGGCTGGGGGGATCGGATGTGCGCCTCCCCTTTAATGACTCCATCGATCTCGACTCCTCTACCTGACTCGAGTGCATCACGTCACCCCCGACCCCCCCCCCCCCCAATTTGAGGACTCCGCCCCATTTCTTAGCTTGTCTGTCCCTTTCTATCCACTTAAATATTTGGTGGTAAAACTGGTAACTCAGGGTCCCTGAGATGTGACCTAGCAAACATGGGGTCGTGACCTGCCACACAACCTCCTCTTATTGCAACCGAAGGTAAACACGACCATACAGGTGGTGCTGTCCCTCCACCTGTAAGAGAGGACCCTGTCACAGTCCTCAGCAAGCTCGTGAAGTGCTCCCAAAAGCGCATATCACACTTTATCTGAAGAAAAAAATACTTATCTGACCTCTGATCTGGCCATTGGGGAGATATTCTTCACTGGGCGGAAGCAAAGAACCTCTTTGACCAATAGGGGATGCCACCATCAATTGCAGGTTGATCATTCATCAACTTTATCACCGTACCTGGAAACCGCTGCACATGACGAACGACCAGCTCTCACGCCCAGAGCAGCCTCTGAGCACAATGATATTTGACAGGATTAAAGAGAGAGCTGTCAGGTTTTAGAGTGCGAGGAATAAAAGACCCCGTGGTCCCAAAGCTTCGCCGGAGGACAGACAAATGACACGAGGGCCCTATGACACAAAGCGTGGCCCCTGAGGTCGCATTTGTCAGGCCGCATCGACAACAGGCTATAAATGGCAATGAAATGGCAAAGAAGGTGAAGAATCGCCGTTGCAAATTTCAAGGCCAAAGTCAAGGTCATGAAGTGTTGTTGATCTGGTCCAGACATCAGTATTAACCTACTAAACCACCCACCCTCCCATCCATCCATCCATCCATGAATTTTCAATAACCCTTTATTCAATTAGGGTTGCATTGTGCCTTAATATGCCCATTTTAAAACTACAATTCTCAAGGGACCTTTTTTTGGACACTAAATTTGATACACATTCTACATCAAAGGTAGCTAATTCAGTAGTACTATTACTCTTATCATCATTGCAAAAAATACTCTTTTGAAGATGTCGTTTGAGAAATTTCCATCTAAAGTGAAAATATGCGGGAGACTCACAGAAAACTGTTTTTAGGCCAGGGAACCAGGTTTGGCGTGCTGTTTACTTGAGGCAAACACCTTTGTTGAAGAGCTTTGTTTATAAAACCAAATAGCGCCAGATCTCCGATCACAATTCCCCACGGGCCGCCCGGTGACAGTGCAGTGATGGTTGGTCGGTGACGTCCCTAGCAGCTGCGTGGAGCCACTTTGACCTTGTCTTAACCCAACACCAATCCTACAATCAGGACAACCATTGGACCATGGTGGGGTGGGTGTGTAGCCTCGGTGGCGTTAAGGTCTCGTCGCTTTGGAAACCAAGACAACAGCCTTATTTTCAGTTTGCTTCAGCAGTCCGAACCTCAGCGAAATATTCAAAGCAAAATGCCTCGAACGGAAATTGGCCACATACTGGATTTCCAGTAGACCCTGGCCCATCGGTGGTGACAAATTCACACGATCAGAAAGGGCCAACAGGGAACATGGGGGGGGCAACAGCGAGAACCGACGGCAATCCCAACCCGTTGACGACAAACTCAAAGCCGTTAGGTGAAGGTCGAGTTTCCATGGCGACCTGCCGTGCTGGCTCACAGTCCCGACGACTCCACGGAAACGCGCACAGACGCGTCTGGAGCGAGGGAAGCCATGTTAAAGGTCACATGATACGGCGAGTCGTGAGCGTCTGCTAAAACGGAGCGCATTAATCCGACGAGGGCGAACATGAACCGATCGAGCAACGAGCCGCGGCGAAAAGGGCGGAAGGATTCCGGGCTGCAAGTGAGGGCAAACGAACTCCACCACATGACAGCAGACGTTACCGTCCCACAAAGGACATCGCGAAAGGTCAGCCATCCTTGGAATTTGTTTTTCGATATTAAAGTTTGGCTTTCACCAGGAACCACATCGACCCGGGGAGAATATTTAACTGTCAGAAGCCTTTGGATTTCAAAACCAACATTTTCAAAGATTCTTCAAAGGACTCCACAGATAAACCGCAAATACATACGATCACATTTTGTACTCACAGTAACCACAGATAATTAAATATATGAGCTTTTGGAAGTGCTTGGCTGCTGGCTGATTTGAAAATGCCATCGTCGTTTTAGGTAGCAGGTGGGTTTTTTAACTATAGGAGGGTTACAATTTTTTTCATTTTTTTAGAAGATATAACATTTACAGTCACGTCCACTTAAATGTCTGGTGGTTTTATCAGAGTTCCAGCAAACAATCCCAATGGATTCACTTGGTATTCAAGATGGGATCAGAAGCAGGGCATTTACGGAAGAGACACGGAGTTTGCGTTATCCGGGACGGATCGGGAAGAGGCAAAGCGTAAATCATATAAATCATTCTGGTGCCCGCCGGAGAGCCAAAATGAGTCGTCACGTTTCCGACATGCTCTGGAGGCTGGTTTCAGCCTGTTTACCGGGCTGCCTTTATGGAGACCTAATTATCCATCTTGTGTCACCCCTGGATGTCTCGGCACCGCGGCAGGTGCAGGAATAAGCCGGGACAGTACAGAACCGGTGGCAAGCGTCCAGTCAGATATTCATGAGCTCTACCTCCCCCCCCCCCGCCCAGTCTGTTCAAAAATTGTGACGAAGGGGAGCCACTTTGCTCCACGGCGGAGACCATGGCGTCTAACGTCTTCTCCCCGGTGGATGTCACCTCTCATTCAGGCAAACGTGGATCAGATTTGGGCTCTCCCTTAAGCTCGCAGTGAACGGCTGCTACATCTCCTAAAAACATAACAAAACAAACAAAAAACGTTTTCCCCTAATCAGCAGAAACCTTCAGGCAAATTTAAAGACGCCTAATGCCTCTGCAGGCCCCAGAGCTGTCCGCCATAAGCTCATTCATTCCCAACCCTTAGAAAACAGCGCCAAACTGGTTGAGCCCAGACTGTGCATCCGGCTGGGTGATTCAGCATCCACAGTGATTGTCTGCCACGCTGCCATCCCTCAAAAAGGCACAGTGTGCCGAATTTAACAGCTATACAGCGAGCGTCCGCCATTCACTCAGCCTTATCTCTGCTCTTTACGTCTCTGGCCGGTGTATTCCTCATTACGGCATAAGAACCGAAACAGGGGAAGCGAGCTTTTATCTCTAGGTGACTTGTCGGCGAGCAACGGATTTCGGGAACCTCCTTTATCTCCGAGCCGGAGCCCGGCAAACTGCGGGCAGCACTTTGAGGGCTTCGCCGCATGCGGCACCGATCATTTCTATCGTCTGGCTCTCGAATTTCCACGCCGGCTTGTGACAGCCCGAGAGGAAGGGCGCCCAATGTTTAGAATCAACCAAAACGAGGATGTCGGGAGCAGTTCGGGTTGGAGAATACCGCTCAGCGTCGCCGTGATTTATTTTGCGAATTAGACTGCGGGTGGGGGGGGGGGAGGGCTGCATTAAATGGGGGCAGCTCGCTTGGCGGGAGGACAGGCTGGCGGCCGAGTTTGAAACTGACAGACGGGGTTTGTTCTTAAAGCCTAATGAAGGGGGAGGGGGTGGGGCAACTTGTATCTTCGTCGTGATGCGAAGGCAGCCTAAGGAGAGCCTGCGGCCTCATTTTAATGATGAGCGCAGACAGCCTTCGTCGGATAACCGGCGCGATTCTGAGCCACATCCGGAGCTAATCCCCACGGCAGCCAGTCTGCTGTTAACTGAAGTGTGCGACGCTGTGTTAGGGGGGTCATATGCTATACATGTAGCCCAGACGGCACCTACGTCTGCCCCCCCCCCCCCCACAACAGCGCGATCCCATCTTCAGTAATCCCTTCCAGTGACTCCTGTCCTCATGAACGGAGAGACGTCGATAAGGGCAAGGGGTCTTTGGCAGCCGCGAGCGACGGGCTCGCA